CGGCCAATAGAACAAAGAAATCCAACCTGTCATTGCGAAGCCCAGGGCTACAAGCCTATTTGCCCACGTGATGTCCCTAAAGTTTTGGCCAAGCCGAGGCCTTACCGACAAACAAATCTTGAAAAAAAGTACACGCTCCAGGCTGTTGTTGGTCAGGTCCTTGAACGGGCGAAAACCACAAACTGACAAGTGACTCGGACCTATAACTCACCTCACGGGGTTATTAGTCGCATGCCCAAGAATCTGAAACAACACTCTTGAAACGTTGTTCTGAAGCCGATGCTTGACATGACCTTAAAGCCATCATGCTGGCCAGGTCCCAGGCCCCTTTGGTTTTTGCGTCCACGTGGATCATGTACTGCCTTGGGGTCAACTGCCGGTTTGAGCTTTGAATTCTTTCAAGGCTGAAGTTGATAGTAGGGTTTAGGGTTCAACATTGGGATCGTGCTCCCAGAACCGCCAAGTAGCCCACGTAATCCTAAACCCTGGAACTGAGACCGCGCTCATGCATGCACATGCCGGTCGCTGCCTCACGCCGGCTTGACCTTCCTCATCTAATCCACTGTGCCCTGCTGACCCAATCTAAGTCATAGAGAACGAAGCGCAGTAAGAATCTTCCATGGGAATTGGAGAGACTATAAGTCTTCAAGCTGCCAAACTTTATCCAAAGAAGTGGACGGCTCTCCTACACCACACAACTGACGTCTGAAGGGTGGCACACTGTCCGATCTCACGCACACAGTGGACGCGCGTAGACTGACGCAGACTATATAATAATACATACATGATATATGCAGATATACATGCATATATATACATATACAGGCATGGCAGTACACGGCATGATGCCTTGTAAAACCACATCGTAAACATGTATCGGGATCTACCATTTGTTTCACTGCGTTAAACAACAGCAATCTCTGGTCTCCAATGTAACAGATTGCTAGAAGTATCCCTAGGCCAAGGCAGTCTGCTTGCTTTTAGGGACGCTGAGATTAGCAACAGGTTGGAAATGACTCACAAAGGGTTACGACAGAGTTGCTACCATGTAAGTATGCGCATCGGTGCGAGTCCAGCAGATTGCTACGGAAAACAGACTTCCAGCACTGGGGAGACAACATCGGTTTCAGCTTTGGCTTTAGGGATTAGGATGTAGGGTTTAGGGTCACTTGTTCAGAAGCAATTGACTGGCCCTCGAGTGATTTCGGAGACAACACGGCTACCACCAGCCAACGCATATGCAAGAGTATCCAAACTGCACGATTCGGGCATCGCAGCCACTAAAAAAGTCCAAACTAGAAAGTATGTTGACCAAAATATCTGGGAGTTCCTCGGAAAATAGCACAGAAGCATATCGCAGATACTGACACTGCAAAATCCATGCAGACCTGCAAAAGCTGTGAAACCGCACACTTTAAGAGCTCAGGTTAGTACGAAGGGCAGGTTGTCGACATTCCGTTACACGACCAATGGCCAATGTCTCGGGGCGTCGACGGCCCCCGCGTCATTGTGTCAAGCAGCTATAATTCTAACAAGTACTCTTACCACACGAGCCAATTGATGCACAAACCCTTCGTGAGCCCAATACATTAGCAGGATGATGCATGTATACAGATGCACCTAGACCCCGATTATGAGAGTTTCGAGGCACCATACAAGTCTGAAAACGCAACGATCTAAGCTGTGAGGAACCCCCGTAACAAGACCGAGAATTTCTACCTGGCATACTGCCCGAAAACCTGAACCCCTCGGCCCAAAACCCTGAACCCCACACTCTAAATCCTAAACCCTCAACTGCTAGGCGTTTTAGGCTCTTGGGGCTGCTGCTGCACGTCCGGGTTGAAGGCAGGCTCGAGCTTGTGGCCTACACATTCAAATTTCCCCATGTTAAGGCCTCTCATTGGGATGATGCAGGGGCAGAAAGGCTTTAGGGCTTCGAGATAAGGGTGTAGGGGCAAAGATTTGCCGGAATTGGTCTCCTCAAGAATATTGGTCACCGTCTTGCGTCCCTGGCATGGTAGCTCCCTAATTCTGAGAAACATGCGGCTTGGAGGTTCAGGGAGTTTTTCGCTGTGGATCTTGCTTGCCGGTTCTTGAGGGAATATAACCCTCATACAGTCCCCAAGCATTCCCCTATTCCCTACTAACTCCCAGAAAGCTTGGGCTCAGGAGTTTCGGGGCTTTGGGTAAGGCAAGAGGAAGCATGACGTGCTTGAAGGCGCTCATCGGCTGTGCTGCATTTGGAATGGCAAGGCTAAGGAATCTCACTGCAAGTTGTGCCAAAACTCCGGCCTGCCAACTTCTACAGCTCAGAGCACTGCTCTGGCTTGCAAATCTAGAGGGCAAACCCCATTCCATTTCCCATCACAACCTGTTGTGACTAGTATGATTCTAAAGGAAAAAGTTGCTCACAACACTAAACCTGAACGTTCGTGCCTTTCACTTCAAGCTTATCAAGCCGCACGCTGTAGATTGGTGTCACGATCACCTTAAGTTTGCGGTGGGGTTCTGGAACCCGATAGGCAGGAGCATGTCTGCCGGAAGTTCGTGTAGGTGCAGGGACGCGATACAAGCTTTCCACGCCGAACCCCGCCAATCACCTGTTAATATGCTGGGGGGACGGGTAGACGGGGTTTTGTTGTTACAGAGAAAGTACTTGATTGCTTCTGATCTTTGGAGGTGCCATCCCGTGGTGACACCTATGATACGTTGAGCTCGTCAAAATATGGCAGTGGCTTACGTGGAGCCCTGACAGCCTAAGGCATTCCCCGAACTGACAAGGCCCATGGGTCTGTGGTAGCCTCCAAAAGCCGAACATGATCTGCTGAAGATTACAGAAAATCTCCTCTCGACCCTCAAAATAAAGTTGAAACAGCCCCTACCTATTTTGCCAGAATAAAAAACTCTTCCAAAGTCAAGCTCGTTCTGCGCAGCCATTCCGAAAATTACATGCCCTCCTGAAAAAATATACTGCCGGGGGATTGTTTTAAAGGTGAAAGAATCAGCGACCACTTGGCAACAAAAGAGCAACACAGCCTCGCCCAGCTTTCCTTAGGCCTAGTTGAGCCTGTGGTCGAAGGTTGCGTATGACCCCGTGCCCCAGCCACAAATCAGTGGAGTTTTTTGTGGCCTTTCTCAAATAGCCTCAGACAGGGAGACCCTCGTTCTGGGGCTTTAACAAAGTCATTGACAACATGTTTATCAAACCCGACTAGAATGATTTCAGCCCCATTGTACAGTCATAACGAAAACTCTGACATGGAGTCTGGAGGGCATGCTTAATACTAGGGGGGGTTGGCACACTAGGATTTTTCTTGGGTTTATTGAGGGAATGTAGCTTTCTACTTCCTATTGGGTTCTAGGACTCCTTTTGAAGTCACAGTCACAGCTGACCCAACGGCGACCCAGTTACAGTAAGCTCGTAGTGCGTCATGTGGATGTTGTCTGGAGCAAGTGCGCAAACGACCTCGGCAAGAAGCAACCTACCCATGTCATACAGTTGTTCAAGCTAACCAGCATAAACTAGCCATGCTATCGAATTTGTCCATGTTCTCTATCCCGTTCGCTGTAGTGGCTTCAACATGGCAAACTTAATTTTCCAAACGTACTACCTCGAGTTTTTTGAGCTGGGAGAGGTTTCCACCTTGAATAGGTGAACATCCCCCAGCCCCCTCCCGTCGGTGAGGGAAAGACAAGGCGTTCAAGCCGGCAGCTTCATTCCCCTCACGGTGTTCTCACTCTCTCAACAGGTGAAAAACCGTGAGAAACGTAAGGACAGTGAAATTCTAATCCCTTCCTTTGCGAGTCCCACCCTTCACCGAACGTGCGGCCAGCTCATTCTTTATGAATTTGGCACACCGGGCAAACTTTTTGTCTCACTCGAAGCGCCTGTCACAATCACGCTCAGCCTCGGCCTCCAGAGCTGACGGTTGAGGCTTGAGGTTTGCATTTTAGGGGTGAAGGTTTTTCAGCTTTACACAACCGCGCTTACCATAATTCTCTATTCCTGCTGCACACGGCCCAGTCTTCCGCTTGACGATGAGACTAAAAAAACTTACCAGAAGACTTCTTCGGAGGGTCCAAGTCAGGTTGAGACTGACAGGCGTTGATTTTGGATAGCGCTGTGGGTTGAAAAAAGACAAGTATCCGCACACCCCTCCATTCTCGAGACCATGCAAAGTTTCTTCGGCTTGAGAGACATTGTGCTTTTGGCTTTGGGCTTTGGGGGTAGGTAGGGTAGAGTGGGGTCGTCCATAGCCCAGGGATGCCTAGTATCCCTGTCTACCAAGCGTAGAATGCCACGTGGCAGGTGTTGGGATCCCAAGGAACTCGTTTTGGATCTCTGTTTTGGCTTGAAGGTATGGCCCCAATATTACACGTTTCAGGACTTACCTTCCGCAACATTGACCTGCTGCTCCCCATATTCAGCAACCCCCTTCAGGAGCTAGGATGGTCTATGTGGCACGCTTGACATAAGGGGAAGGACGTCCTCCTTAGTTGTATGGGCTTGAGGGTTTACACTAACAAGCACATCTGCAAGGACCCTCAGACAATACGACTATTCGGACGGTGTTGGTGCAGTTCTGCGCCACGTAGACTTAGACTCTTCACCTCGCAACAGGCACCGATGCCATTGAAGACTCTCGTACCCTTTTACCTGTCAGGCGCAAGAAGACTGGTTGCTTTTATAAGGTCCCCGTAACGTGAGAAGCCATGAATCGTGACCACAATCCAGCAGCTTCTGCTGCAACTCCAAGGCCCACCTTACACCCCGAAACCCTAAGCCCCAAGTCCGCAATCCTGGCCCCTACCCTGCCAAACTCTAAACCGTGTAAGCCAATACGCTCAAGCCTAAACCTACCAGGCATTAAACCAAGGCCTACATCCTAAACCAAAGTCCTGGGTCTGGCTTCGCCGCGAAAAAAGAGTGCAACCAAGAGCCCATAATGTTTGGAACCCTTTGGAAAAATGACTCCCAAGCCGGAAAAAACCGACCTCAGTCATTCTTCGAAGATGAAATGCCCGTCTTGCAAACGGCATTGACCCTCTGGGTGGCGCTGCGCCAAGAACCTCCCGGCCTCTGGTTTTGGTCACGGATTTCAGGCATCAGGCCATAGCCAATTTTAAAGGATCTGAAGCCGAGGATCATCTCATCTAAGGGTTATGTAAGGGTCAGTATGAGGTTCAGCTTGCTCCTGAGAACCCTGACCAGAAAGACAGGCCAGTACGCCCGAATCTTCCATTCAAGTTTTAGCGTTCAGGGGTACTTAAGTCACAGGAGTACGTGCTGCCCACTGCAGTTAACACGGCCTCAGCTGGTATCAAGGATGAACGCCGTCAACATGCAAACTTGGCAGATAAGGGTACCAAGAACTGAAGAACGAACCGCGAGTCTAATGCGAGTTCTGGGGAAAGCTGGGAAACAGCGAAAAGGAGTCTTCACGACTACTTCAGGATAGCGTGTCGGTTTCCATCAGCATCCCACACTAGGCGTAGAAACTCAACATGCTTGAAGGCTAGCTTCAACAGATTCAAAAGCGTAGCAGCCAGGTAGAGTGCAAAGAGGCTGCACATCTGCCTACTCAGTACATGTATGATCCAGTCCTAATTTGCAGCTGCTGCAAAGATCTCAACAAGTCTCAACCAGCAGGACTAGACGAAGGTCTGGGATAGATGCAAATTTGAGGAACATGCGGCATGCTTCGCAACGTGCCAATCTGAAAGGCTTCGGTCTTGGGTTCAATTTATTTGGGGGGTAGCCTCTGAGAGACAAGCACCCTGAAAGGGGGAATCTGTCCGCATTCTAGGCCCTAGGGGTCCATGCATAAATCCCGCTTTTTGGCCACAGCCATTGTATTAACAGTACTAGGCGTTACCTAGTCGTAGCGTGACCAGGAGACCACGGACGGGAACATGTCTAATAACTAGCACACCAAACTTGGCCTTGTCAACAAGTCCGGGGTCTTCGCCAATGCCTCAAGCTCAGGGTATCGGATCTCGAGCGTAGCAACTCGAGCGTAGCAATCAGAAGCAGGTTTGATCACTAGGTACACAGATTAAGTGCAATAATACAGCTCAAGGCACGCTAAAAAGATTGTCCTTCTTGGACGCGATTTGCAGCACAACAAAGCGTACGCCCCATATGGGCTCCTGGTTTCGGCATAAGCCCGCTTGCATGCCATGTGAGTGCGTCTTCGGGCGAGGGACTTAGCAAGCGGGTACAAATTGACTAACCCTTGGATAGCCAGACCCGGAACGACGAGGGCAAGACCCTCCAGCACGCAATACCTTCAAACCCATACGGCTAAGAACCTAAACCTGAACCTACGAGCGCTCGGCTCGTTCAACTTATGGGAAGCCTATCCCGGTACATAACTCTGAAACTCACCTGTCCCCATGCGAATTTCCCAAAGGTCTCAGGAATTCTACACAGCACCTAGAAAGCCTACGCGCGCTGCAACCCTGGACTAATCTCTGGAATATATATATATATATACATTAACACCAAGTCTTGAACATCCCTCAACCTCAAGCATCAAACCCACACCCTAGACTCCCTAGACCCTTCTCAGGCCACGCATTACAGACCGACACAGACCCTGGTCCCTGGTCAGGTTGCCTACGAGATCCGGTCGCTCCTGACGCAACAAATACTCTTGCAGGTGCGGGCTGTAGGGTTTGGGAAAGCGGTTCTGCCCCTAAGAACAAACCATCTGGGGGCGTTCGTCTGGACAGTTTGGGCCCATGGTTGAGGACTGGTTGAGTCATTTCGGGCCTGAAGTCGTGCCGGGTCCTGTTTACGGGCTCACAGTCCAGACCCCTTACGCTTGCCACCTACAGCATCAGGCTTCTAGGCCCGGGGACGTGACCATGCCTGCAAACAAATAGTGTCGAGTTCAACTACACTAGGACACTAGGACTGGGTCAACAGTTTACGGTTTTTATGGTCGCCCTTCAAAATCAAAGTTGCACCAGCCTTGGCCTAAAGGAATCCATACCACAAATGTGCAGGAAGACTAGACCAGGTATTATCTGAGTGTTGAAGCTCGTTGCAAGACGGTCAAAGATTTATGGAGCAGCTTGCGCGGCAGGTGTTCGGTTTGACTACTTTCGCGATTGCTGTCTTGACTTGAAAGTGCCGTTCTAAATGAAGCAAGGGCGGCATTGGCATGACATGAAAGACTTATCAAGAGCTGTTTGAACACACCTCC